ATAGAATTTGTCAGATGATAAAATTGAAGAGCCAAACATGATTTTAAAGTTACTAATTTAATAGGGACTCTTGTTGGCAGGCTTGCTTTAGAGATCTATATGTCTTCTGAGAATGTAAGTACTCATTAAAAACATTTTGAGAAAATTGGTCTATACTCCAGAACACTGAACAATGAGGATATTTTCTGATATCATCTGAAAAAATTACTGTTAATTACAGAAAATTAAGCACAAATAGTACCAACATAGTTATTAGCACCACAGATTTGATGAGTTTTTCTCCAAAAGGAACTATAAATTATATAACATAACAATTATGATAGTGAATAAGACTTGTCACTGTATCCCGTGGGTATCTACTCTTAAAAATATGGAGTATATATTCCTAAAAACATATTGTGGGTTAAAAATTGGAGATCTGCCTCTCAGAGTCTTTTAATATTTTTGAATGTGTGTGTGTATGCACATCCATATTATAATACATACATTTCCATGGATTATTTCAAATCAGACTATCATGAATAATTTTGTAGATCTAAACACGCTCTGCGTAGGCCTGACATCACCAGCACTGGCAGCCTGTGGAGGACAGAGCAGTCATCTCCTGGGATGAAGCATGTGTGTGCTTGCCACCTGTGTCTCTGCTTATTGCAGACCTTGAAACTCCTCCTGTATGGTGGGACATATCTATGTGACAGTCATCTGAGTGTCCTCAAGGTTTATAAAAGGAATGGCACCTGTCATTATTATGTGTCTGCCTGCATGTGTGCTGTGGCTGAGAATAGAGAATAGGCAGGTGTTAATGTTAGTGTTGATTTGTTTGTTGTTTTCCAGGCATGCTCTCACTGTGTAGCCCAGATTAGCCTCCAACTCACTGTGTAACTCAAGATTGCCTGATTTTGTGGCATTCATATGCTTTGGCTTTCTGAGTGCTAGGAGTACTGGTATACGATGCCACACCAGAGCTGGTATTTTAAAGAACAAATTTCCTATAGTTACTGGTTTTGTGGCCAAGATTCTAACTAGAACCAGAAAATAAGGTAGTTTATCCATAAGATTAAACTAAAAATCCTAAAGGATTGAAGTAGAGCCCAATCCAGAGCAGATATGACTTCAAAGGACAGACCCTGAAAGCAGGCACTCCCTCAGCAAGGGACAGAAAGCTGCCACTTGTCATTTGAGTTGGGTGAGTGAAAATGTAATATGGTGCTTAGAGAATTCACCACTGGAGTTCTGACATCGTCTCCAGTTTTGTGACATTTAATCATGCACTAGTTCCATGTCTCAGGAAAATGAGAAGAATTTTACAATCTTCACAGAGTTGTTGTCAGGGTTAAGTTGATTTAGGTAGAGCCCAGAACAGTGCTTAGCAGGTGGCAAATTTTAATTCTTAATGGATGTTACAATAATAACTATGGTATATACCAGCTACGCTGTTATTGCTATAGCTATTGCTTTTCCTAAAGAACTTGGGATAATTGCATGGAGCACATGGCATGCAGTGCTCCTTGAGACAGCTTTTAATTACTGAGCCATTTCCTCAGACAGCAGTAACTAATGAGAACCTACTCAGTCCGGGTACTCTAGTTGCATGGATCAGTGCCCGAGCACTTCCTGGTGCCTCTCCCTCCTGTGGCTCCCAGGGAGACTCCTGCAGGAACCACAAACCTGAAGTCAGGTCCCATCTGCCTCGAACAGGCAGTGTGGCCTGCAGTAAGACTTCAGGTTCCTTATTTCTGTGCTGTTGAGAGCTGAAATAGCCCAGTGGCTTTCCAAAGGCCTCAGGAAGATGTAGGGAAGGGATTATGCAGAGCATGTGGAAGAGGGGCTAATTCTTCAAAAGCAGGAAGTTCAGGTTTCCTTCTTGGGATTCCATATGCATTTGGTAAATGAGAACCACTGCTAAGTAAGCTTTGGCTTCTTTGGAGTAAATACCCAGGAAAGGTATAGCTGGGTCATATGTTAGGTCTGCTTTTAGTTTTGTGAGGAATATCTGTGGTGACTGCCACAGAAGCTGGACTGGTTAATATTCCCACAAGTAGTGTGCACACCATAGTGTCTACAACCTCACCAGCATCTACTAACCTGGACGGGTAAGATGGAATCACGATGTAGTTTTCACTTGCATTTCTCTGGCCAATGCTACGGAGTGGATTTCATATTTCTTGACTATTAGTATTTTTAAGAATGGTCCATCCATTTCATTAGCCCATTTGTTAATCTGAGTTATTTAATTTTTCAGGGTGTGTGTGGGTGTGGGTGTGTTCTTTATCAAAGAGATCCTTGCACATCAATGTTTTATTCATGAGGCATTATTCACAGCAGCTAAGCTATGAATCCAACCTAGGTGTTCATCAACAGAAAAATGGCTAAGGAAAATACCATTTATAAACACAATGGAATTCTTCCCACACATACAAAAGAGTGAAGTTACAACGCTTGCAGGAAAACAGACATGATAGAAGATATTCACACTAAATGAATTAAGTCAGTCTCAGAAAATAACAAATACTTCATCTTTTAATTTCGGGTCCTAGACTGTGGGAAAATAAAACCATATATATATAGAATACAAGGAAACAGAAGCAAAACTACCCGTGGAACAAAGGAGGTCAGAGGGAGCTGGGGTGAGAAAGAGGGGGTGTAGGGCCTGGGAAAAATAGACCTAAAGTACCTTATATTTTTGTATGGAAATTGCCTTTGTAACCAGGTTTTTGTTTTGTTTTGCTTTTTATTTTACATCCCAGTTGCAGTTTAATGAGTTTTTTAAAGACAAATTATGTTTTTTTTTTTTTAAAAAAAAAACTTTTAAAAAATAGAAGTTTTGCCTAGATGAACTCAAAGGTTCCCTCAGCTGCAGCTACTCTATATGTGCTAAAACGTTTGGTTTCACTGAACCAAAGATGCCGAAATAAACCTATAGATAAAGGCATTAAATCCCACATCCGAGGACGCTGGGTAGCTGGAGGCATAGGATGGAGTAACAAGGCTCTGCTTTTTCACACTCGAGACAGAGGTAAGGGCAACTTCTGTTGCGGGCATCTCATCTCAGCGCTCTGACACGTCCTGTTTGTGCAGAGCTGATGCTAATTCATTCAGTGGACAAGAAGCACAATTATAATAGGAACATCACCTGCTAACAACAGTTCTCTTAAGCACTATATGCTGTAGAGGTTCTCTTGCTGGTTAGTGATTTCTGAAAATATCCATTTCAAATTAAATGTTTACAGTTATGATGCAGTGTTACTGTTAGAAGTAGATGGGAAATTGCTCTCAGAAGCACTTGGTTCAATTGATATGGAGAATGGGTGAGGTAAAAAGTCACCACTTTTTCTCTGGACAGAAAACCTGTACTGATTAATGACTCCATAGGCTATGTTTATAACTTGGAATAGCCAAATGTTTAGGCCTCATTTCAATTTTCTGAAAGTAAAGAAAACATGTATGTTTATAAATACATACACACACAGATACACACAGAAAAATGACATCTCTTTATATGCCATTTTGATAATGATTAGTATATAACAAGAACTTGACTCCTTTTGTAAGCCTCACATGTGCTATTAGTTGAAGACTACCCACGAGTTTTCTCACCATTTCTGTCTCCTCTACATTCAAGGCTGCCTCTATTGTGCCATTGTGTGTATGTGTGCCAATTAAGGTATACTTTTCATAGTTGCACTGCTATAGAATGTTAGTGTGAAGCCATATCACCTATTAACACTTCAGCATGGACCGTTCCCTCATTATTTTCAGATAGTTGAAACTTGATTAGTGGCATTAGGGCACAAGAACAATTCCATGGAGAACAGAAATCAGAAAGGCCCACAGCATGAAGTGAAAAGGTTCATCCACATGGAGCCAGGCGGTCCTACTGAATCCAGCATAGATTGGGATATTGACCAAAGGGTGTCCTATGGAGGAGTAATGAGAAGACCAAGGTTTGCACTCTCAGGAGTTAACCAGTGTGTTGTCTATAATCCATCTCCAGCAGATGTCGGCAGAATCAGATTATTTTTGTCCTAGGGTGATTTGGGCAATAGTAAAGATTTAATGTTAATATATTTTTAGATAGTAAATGTATTTTGTATGGCTTATTTTCTAAAATCAAGTTTCTCAAGGGAACATGATTTTCAGTTCTAATTTCATTTAAATAATTTATTTCACCTCAAAATAATTCTTTTGAAGGGAAAACAGTTCACATATAGAGAACAAGTAATTCTTCCTTTAATAAGGCATTTCCAATTATAGCCATGGAATAACAAATCTGCCATGAGGATGCTGTTTTTGTTTTTGTTTTTTTTTCAGTGTTCCATATGCATAGTTCTGATTAGGAGGGGAGATGTATATCTCCTGCAAATGTGAATTACACCCAGTGGGTGGGGGGAAAAGGTGTATTTTATCCTGACAAATTTTTTTATTATTATAGAAAGCTCAAAATAGCCCTCATTTTTGGAAAACATTATTTTAAAAATATTTTTTTGCCTTAATTCTCTATGCTATGGTGACCATTATTTCAAAAATCTAAAAGCACTTTCAGAGAATCTACCAAACAGTTTGCGTCAATGTCTAGAGAACTTATTAAGTGTCCTTCCTTTACTTCCACCCTGCTTTGCTCACACCTGCTATTTCCAAAAGAAGCCTGCAGATGTTACATTGTCTTCCTAAAGACCTGCAGATTTTACAATGTCTTCCTAAAATAAGATGTTACAGTGTCTTCCTAAAGTAAGACCTGCAGATCTTACAGTGTCTTCCTAAAGTAAGACCTGCAGATGTTACAATGTCTTCACAAAGTAAGACCTGAGGATGTTCCAGTGTCTTCCTAAAGTAAGACCTGCAGGTAGCAGTTGGCCCTGGGGACTAGATTTAAGCCTTCATTCTGTTGTTTACTTGCCCTATTCGTTTAAAAATTGTATCTGCAGATTTCAACTTATTTTTAAGAATACTTTAATATCACATATAGTATTAAAAATAATCTTTTCCTACTCAATTTCCAGGGCTACTGCGACACACAGGGGCCAGGTGATTTTTAAAGATGCGTTAGCCCAGCAGCTATGTGAGCAAGGAGGTAAGAGCATGTCTGCCTTGTTTATGTTAGTTGTGTCTAAATTATTCATGGCAGATCCTATGTCTTGTACACTGAGCTGGCATTTCATTAATGTTGCTTTATCATGATGTTTTAAAATTGAATTATTGACCACTTCATATCCCCTGCTAATTGTTTATTAATAAAGATTGACTTCTGAACATATTTACTGTCAGCAAAAAAAAACAAAAGAAAATGTGTCCTATTTTCATAATATTTTCTCCTGAGGAAAATTTTTAGTTGTCCTAGAAGTGACAAATTTTAGTAGTAATTGTAAAATTGTAAATCCATCCCCTTTAAATTTCTAGTCATATGTGTTTCTTATTATTACTTTACACTATAATATCTATGTGGTATTATCATGAGTTGCACACATATCTATGTGTTTAGATAGACATAATCAGTAGGATTTTACTAAGTAATGTAATATTTGATAAGTCGCTACTGTCAAACCTCTATTTGCTTACAGCTTCTTCACTCAGAAAATTCCCCTCTATAATTTCAAAAACCTATTGTCAGTATTGTTTGGTTAACTTGACTATTCTTCTATAACTAACTTTCAAGAATGCAGACATTAAAAATATGCCTTAATAGGCAAACTCAGGAATTCTATCATAATATAAATATTTTTCCACATTATGAAAATATTCAGAATACCATAAGGCAGGGAACATCAACATCATGAAAAATATATATTGCCAAAAAAGGTAAATCCAATTCACATTTACCAGCCTCTAAAAATTAAATTCTCTTAAGCTGTACAAGTTTAAGTCTGTTATTTTATCATTGGGTTGGACTATTTAAAATAAAATTAAAAGCTTAGAAAATTAATGGGAAAAATCCTCAGTGAATGAGAGCAAAAGCCATCTTATATCATAGTATAGCACGTGCACACAATTGACATCTGGTCGATACGGTGTTGTTAGATACAGAGCCCAGGCCCGAAGGCTAGCACTGAGCTCTTCAGTAGCACATAATCCACAGAAACCGTATTGGCGCAACCAAGATAAGGCAGGAAGCCTAAGGAGAAGGTGGCTTCCTGCTGTCAGGGAAATAGCTGGTGCTGTAAACCATGTATTTATTTTGGTTCTTTCTACTTTTAATTAAAACATTATTTCCTCAAATAAAATAACATAATTTTGTAGGTAATGACTTTTTATGCATTACACAAAGAATGCCTAATATATTTATGAAAGGAAAAAATAACCTTCCCTATATACCACAACACACGGCCTTTCATCTATGATATATTTTAGTTTGTTGGTCCTAATTAAATTAAGCAATTCAAACAAAGAAATTTTGTTTTGTAAAGCATGGGACCAGGAACATTTTAAGATCATATTGTGAGCTAAAAATATTGAGAAAGTAGAAGTATCTGAGAACAGGATGCCAGCAGGTCAGCAGCCTTGGTCACTTTCCTTGGAAGACTTCTGCAAATGCAGTCCCAGGAGCACCAGAAGACTACCTAGACTCACATCCCCACCTCACTTACCCTCCTCTTAGTCCTACCTTAAAACCACCTGAGTAAGCCTCATCCCATAAGCCCAGTGCTACATGCACCCCAAAACTATCCCTTTTTCCTTGCCGGGATTAACCTTTTATGTCTTTTGTTCTGGCTGACTGGAGCTTTCAGATACACATGCAGAGAGGGGGGGGAGGAGGAGGAGGAGGGAGAGAGAGGAAGAGAGAGGGGGGAGGAGGAGGAGAAGGGGGGAGAGAAAGAGAGAGGAGGGAGAATGGCTTGGCAGTAATGAAGTTGTGATGTTTCTATCTCCATTCATTATGGTCACAGGGTGGCCTTGTCTGAAGCTGATGTCTGTAAGATTGTTTATGTTCCACAAGAGAACACCAAGGCCCTGCTGCAAGGGCTAGACCAGCTGCTAGATGCCAGTGCTGTTCTCTCTCAAGGCTGAGGAAAGAAAGCTAGTGAGCAGTCATTTACTTTTGGGTTTCAGGCTTTACAAGTCCTTTGCAATCAGGGAGGTGTGGTTGGAACTGTGCCACTATGTCGGTGGATGTGACCTTCTCCTTTAGAGGAGGCTCAGCAGTCACATGGGAAGGCTCCTACTGGAGCAGAGACTCAAGCAAGGTCAGCCCATGAGATGACATGCACGAGCTATTCCGTAAGGGAGAATGTGATGATTCTTTCTTTATAAGCTTGCCTGTGTTTTCTAAAATTTTACAATGAAATTATATTATTTGAGTTATAAGAAAATAACAGAAATTCTCCCTACCCCCAAATTACAAATATGAGGTTTACCTTTTGAAGAGGGAGGGGCACTTCTGCTGAGCAGGTGGACTGAATTATTTTTCAAGAACTGGAGAGAAATACAGAGTACATGTGTCGCTCTTGTACAATGACTGCCCTGACTCTCCACGTGTCTTAATTACCTTCTGATTATTCATTTCCCCCACCTGGAAGCCTCTGGAAAGAGGAATCATGCCTTGATTTCTTTTTCTTTAACACATAATATGCTTGTCTTAAGGCATACACTTAATAAATGGTGAAGAATCAGCGTAAGGTTTTCCTATTGGAAACTCACTGCCTCTCCTGAGAAGCCTTTCCCATGGAGCACTGTGGGGCAGGCTGGCGGTCACAAAACAGTATTCCTTATCCTGTTGCAAATGTAAGTTCTGTCTTTTAAAAATCTGTAAGTTAGGACTGGGGAGATGGCTCAGTCAGTCGTGTGCCTACCCTGTAAGCATGAGGACCTAAGTTCAGATCCCAATGCTCACATAATAACCCAGGCACAACATGCATCTGCAGCTCCAGCCCTGGGGTGGTTTGGAACCAGCCAGCCTAACTGAATCAGCTTCAAGTTCAGAGAGAGATCCTGCCTCAAAAATAAGGTGGAGAATGATCGAAAAGACACCTGCCACTGGTTCCTGGCCACTGTACCCATGTATACACATATACACATGTGCATGCATACTCACATGCATGTGTACACACTCACATGAACATAAACATATACATACATATAACATATTCATCATACACACAAATAAATTAAAAAATTGTTCACAGATTTTTCATTTCATCTCCAATGAATTGCCTTAGATCGCACCTTAGTATCTTTATATCATCGTCCATTCTGAGGTTCTAGAAGTAACAGTAAACACTCTGCGGATGCGTTCTTCTGACAATCGTGGTCCAGACGACAGGCAAGAGTGTCCTCATCTTTACCCTGGAGATACTGCTGTGCTGCTTCTGCTGTTTGGTGTGTGTGTGTGTGTGTGTGTGTGTGTGTGTGTGTGTGTGTGTGTGTGTGTATGAGGGTGTATACTCACCCATGTTCATTCACTGGCAATAAAAAAGAACAGAAATAGCTAACAGTCCTCTAGGATTATTGAATGTCTACTGTGGGTGCCAGCTTTGCTAGGTTAAGTCGTGAGGCGTGTCAAGGAACAGAGCATAGTTGGGTAGGAGGCAAGGGAAAAGGTGACTCCAGTTTTACACAGGGTGGCCCCAGATCAGGTAGGTTTCATGAGAAAGTAATACTGGAGCAAAAATTTAGCATGTACCTTTCCAAGAGACTGCCCAAAATATCACTAAGGTTTTAAATACAAAAATGCTGGTGAAGTACTGTTTGGGGTACTCAAAGTAAAGAAGAAAATTCAAAATAAGCTAAAAACTTGGAAGGAAGTGGAAGAGACCAGTCCACCACAAGGATTATTATTGGACAATCGAGAAAGATGGAATCATAAAATTCATGCTTGCTCCATAGCCTAGGTGTCCTAAGCTTGCCTGATCCTCCTGCATCCACCATCCAAATGCATGATTGCAGGCTTGTGCCACCACATCTGGTTCCAAGAAAATTTCTGATTTTAAAAATTAAATTTTGAAAATTCACATGAATTACATCCACCTCAATAAAAAACAGTCACCATTGCCAATATCCTCTGAAAACTCAAGGAAAAAATCTTACTCTTTAGAGGCTTATAAATCAAGTGTCCAGTGTGAAGCTGATGTGAGTAGGTCAGCATGGCTGCCACTGGACCAAATGTGTACACAAATCATGGCCAAGGATGGAGCAGGGAGAGTAACAGTGTTAGTGTATGTCCACTGGCCTCTGGGCTTTTTGGCATACCTTCTTCAAACACGCACATTGATTATTTAGCAAGGCCAAATGTCAGACTTGTGCTCTGAAGTGCCCCATATAAAGGTGCATGCCATTTATAAATCATGCTGGGATCCTCTGTTGTTGACTTGATAGCAGTGGCTAAAACTGAAAATGCTTTCTATCAGAAAAAAAGGGACAGATCTGCTTTCCACCATGTGGAGATGCTTGCTGTGGGCACTGGGCTCTGGTCATAGGCTCTATTGTTTCATCCAGACCTCAAATTCTTTCATTTTTTTTTAATCATTTGTATTAAGGATTGTGAAATTGTAAACTGTGAGATAGAAAGGATGTAAAAGTTGAATAATCAAACCCATAAAGTAAACAAGGTATTAAATTTAGATGTGTTTCTCAAAAGCCTTAAATGTACCTATCAGAGTGGGGTATATCTCAGTGGTAGAGCTAATAGTGGTGGTCAGCATAAGGCCCTGGGGTCAATTCATGCAATGCAATCAATCAGTAAGTAATATTTTAAATATCATTTGTAGGGCATATCTACCAGAGTCTTCCCTCAGTGATACCCTTGTTATTCAATATTTTAAATTAGAAAGTATTTTTCCCAATAACCTAAACTGCAAAATCTTTATTAAACCAGCCTTCTTTCACAATATTAGTCAGAGTTGTGTTTTACATTGCCTACTTCCATTGTTGTAAAGAAAACTGATTCACTTGAGTGTTCCCAGTGTTAAAGATTTGCATGTCAAAAACATCTGTTTCCCCATGGCTGTTCTGTAGCTTGAATTTTACTGTAGCAGCTACAACTTCTGTTCCTGGCATCCCCAGGCTTGTGATTTAGACACAAAGAGAGCTGGATAGGAGGCTGGGGAAGCCATCCAGGAGCTGCAGTCCTGCTTCAGGGTC